GTGCTCCGGCGGGGTGTGATTTGGACATAAGGAGGCGGAGCTGTGCTCCGGCGGGGTGTGATTTGGACACGAGAAGGTTCTGGACAGGTTTTCAGTATATTCAAATTTGCTCAAGTCATTCATGGTATTTATTTTAGATGGGGTACATGTTCTACATGATTTAAAACTACTCCCTTTTAATTCAAACTTTAAAGCACTTTTTTAATTGTATAAAATGAAATGATCAACTAGACTTGATTTGATTCTCTTATAGTAATTGTAAACTTATCGCAGGTAGTTGGATATTTAGAAGATATAATCGGGCATAATACCATCTGAAAGTGGTAAATGCACCTTTAAATCATGTGGACTTACATCTATATGTCCAATTTCATCCCATTCTAATGTCTGCTCATACAACATCTACTCAATAATGAATAAGGGAAACTTCTTGATCTTAATTTCAACATGAATTTTAAACCAGAAGGATAGCACAAGTTATTATTCAGAATAATTAATTACTAGGAAAGCTTAAGTCTTGGCAGAACACTTTGTAGTTACTCCGTCAGCAATATTTTTCATCAGCTCTTACCGTTTTGGATCAGCCCTTACTGTGCCCTGCCAGGATTAGGGTCATATCAGCCTATTAGCTCAGATGTACAGCATTTAAAAGTCAGATTGCTCAACACGCACAGAACCTGAAGCAGTCTGCAAGATTTACACATTTGCTTTCTGATGTCATGAGGATTTAGTTGCCTAGGTGGGTAAAATTCAAACTACACATGACAGTGGATAATGTACTCAGACACACACACCCACCCACACAGACACACACACATAGGTTTGTAATTATATCTTTGTGGGGACTCTCCATTCATTTCTATTGGGAAAACTCTAATCCCAACATGACAACCTTAACCTCTACCCATCCCTAACCTTAACCATAAGTAACCAAACAAAATACAAGACTTTTGGCATTTTTACTTTTTTGATTGTATTCACAGATCTTGGTGGGGACCTAAAAAATGCTCCCCACATTGTCAAAATAATAGATTTTTACTGCATTGTGGGAGACACTTGGTCCCCACAATATAATATAAACCTAATCCACACACACACAGGATTTGGGTGGGTGGGTAGTGTGACCTCTGCTGTAAGCAATTATAGCCTCTCCATTGAGAGGTACGTTCCATGTCCAGAAATATAGAGAAAAAAAATTTCCCTTCAGTCTTGGTTTTGGAAGTAGACCATGGAATATTATTCTTCAAAGTGTGAGTGGCTTGCCTGAGACTTACGATCGTTTGAGATGCAAGTTTCTGTGCATCATCTATGCCATTAAATTTATTTGCTAATAGTAACTGAGAGTAGAACGCCGGATGTAGAAGTATCATATCTTCATTGATAAATAATTACGATCCACAAACAGACAGGTCTGTGGTGTGTTTCTGACAGATCAGCTATGCTGCATCGCCTACTCACTGATGGCGGCTTCCTGACTCACTGCGGCCTGGACTGCTTAACAATAGTGGCCATTGAACACGGTCACAGCCTGCGTTTGTCGATTAATCCTTAGCCCGGGAGCCATAGTAACTACAAAATAACGACAAGTCCGTACATATTACTAAAAATACATGAGAACTGGAAGCTTGTGGGAACTGCATGTGATTTTGTATTCAATGATTGGAATTAAATCAAATGTTTAATAAATGGATTTTTAGAATCATAACTTATTTTCGAACCAGAAAAGCACATTACCTTTTTCGTCAGCGGTGCGTTAATGTTTGGCTGAAATCATTCTAAAGGAAAAAGTAACGAAAAATAACCCCCCCAAAAGACACGATACCTTTAGATGCAGTAAATGCAACAGATAAAAATTTATAACCACCCCCCCCCCATCCCCCTCCGAAACAGGAACTCCAGCCTCAGGGTCCCTGGTTCATGTAAAATATCCAGCAGTAAATGTCACAATGTAGACTCAGAGAATGTGGAAACTTTTTTTTTTGTTAGATTGTACCAAACGCAAAGCCAAAGCACGTCAAACCGGGTCAGTCCACCCCACACACTGCATACCCCTCTGTGCCCTTTCTAATGCCTACAGGTAACATTCAGGCCTGTTTCAAACCTTTCATGTAAACTAAACTTCACATGAAAATGTCTTCATCCTCCGGTATGTTTATTATGACCACTGGGGCCTCATCGTTCCCCTTCCTGTTCTTAAGAACAGCTGTCCCCCCTACTCCTACTCACATTTTTGCGTGGCCCCCTAGCTGGGTGATCCTTAGCTGACCCTAATGTGGACACCTTCCATAGGTTCTTAGCTAACAGCCTCTGTGGGGGGGGTGGGGGGGGGTGCTGATGCAGGTGGGAGTTCAGTTTCAGTTTGATTCCTCCATCTCCGTTATGTCATTTGTGTGTACGGATCTGTTTCGTGTTTTGGCTGGAAGCCTTTGTCTGCAAAAAAAAAAGGAAGAGAGAGTGAGGGAAGCTGATCTCGTAATTAAGTTCCGTTTTCTCAACCTCAAATCATGGCTTTTTTCAACATGCAAATAGCTATGTCTGATTTCTTAATGTTTTCCACTGAAAATATGTAATAAACTTTTGCTCTATGAGACAAAGACTCCTTTTTTTCTGCCACACTGAGCAGTAAAATTGCGCTGAATTAAGGGATGTCGTCTTGGCTGATCCTCTGTATGTTATGGATTAGGGCAGGAGCAGGAGCAGAAGGACAGCAGCAGACTTTTGTTTAAACACAAAAATAGTGTTTTTGGCCAGGAGAGGCAAAGTCAAGACTGACTGCATATTTAAACTCCCCACAGTTCTCCCTCCTAAGACAGATGCTACCCCCACCACACAGAGTCACAGAATCTTACTTATGTGAAAGATGAATTTCACATCAGTGTTTCCTAGGTGAATTTCAAAACAAAACATTTTTATGTCAGTGTGAAAATATTTTTATATTAGAATTATTGCATATGGATGTTGAAGTATTAAATATATTAACATAAGAACATAAGAAATTTACAAACGAGAGGAGGCCATTCGGCCCATCAAGCTCGTTTGGGGAGAACTTAACTAATAGCTCAGAGTTGTTAAAATCTTATCTAGCTCTGATTTAAAAGAACCCAGGGTTTTAGCTTGCGCTAAACTAGCAGGAAGACTATTCCATACTCTAACTACAAGCTGTGTAAAGAAGTAGGCATAATAATAGTGGCAGTAGTACAATGAGGTAGGGAATGACAATTTAATATTTTATAAATATTACCATTTATTTTCGATGGGAGGTGGTGTAGAGGTGATGTGTATGTGTGTGTGCGTGTGTGTGTGTGTGTGTATAGCCTCCCATACACACCTTTGTGGAATATCCCTATGTTTTCAGTAAGCCCCATTTTGAATGTTTCATTCTACTAGAATTATCCATAACTGTATGTGGTTGCCTGGAAATACAACCACTATCATGTTCAGTTTCCGCCACAGCTGCTGACTACAGTCAAAAAAAAGGATGCACTTTAAAATGTTCCTGGCAAAATAAGTTGGCTGTCCACCCATCTTCCAATCATTTAGCCAGTTCTGGGTTGGGGGGATCTGGAGCTCTCCCAGCAAGCACAAGGCGGGGGGACACCTTGCACACACTCACGCACGCACACATGCACACACTCACGCACACACACACACGCACACATGCACACACTCACGCACACACACACGCACACACACAAACATTCACATTATGGGCAATTCAGAAACACCAGTTAGCATTCATGTATGTTCTTAGACTGTGAGAGAAAATGCATAAACACAGGGAGAAGATGCAAGCTACTCATGCAAGATAAAGGCTCCATCCAGTCCCCCAAACTGTGGAGGTGTGAATCAGCAGTCCACCATTATTTAAGCAGATTGATCTCAGATTTTTTAAAAATATGTTTATAAATGGGGATGGGGGGG